AAACAACATTCAGAAAACTAAGATCATGGTATCTGGTCGCATCACTTCATGGCAAATAGATGGGGAAACAGTGGAAACAGTGAGAGGTTTTATTTTTTGGGCTCCAAAATCACTGCAGATGGTGACTGCAGCCATGAAATTAAAAGACACTTGCTCCTTGGAAGAAAAGCTGTAATTAACCTAGACAGCATATTAAAAAGCAGAGACATTACTTTGCCAACAAAGGTCCATATAATCAAAGCTATGGTTTTTCCAGCAGTCATGTATGGATATGAGAGTTGGACTATAAAGAAAGTTGAGCACTGAAGAACTGATGCTTTTGAACTGTGGTGTTGGAGAAGACTCCCTTGAGTCCCTTCCAAGAGTCCCTTGGACTGCAAGGACATCCAACAAGTCCATCCTAAAGGAAATCAGTGCTGAATATTCATTGGAAGGAGTGATGCTGAAGCTGAAACTCCAATACTCTGGCCACCTGATGTGAAGAACTGATTCGTTGGAAAAGACCCTGATGCTGGGAAAGAGTGAAGGCAGGAGGAGAAGAGGATGACAGAGGATGGGATGGTTGAATGGCATCACCGACTGTATGGACATGAGTTTGAGTAAGCTCCGGGAGTTGGTGATGGACAGGGAAGCCTGGCGTGCTCCCGTTCGTGGGGTCACAAAGAGTCAGACACAACTGAGCGACTGAACTGAACTGAACCGAACCTTGCCTTGAGAACCCCAAGAATAGTGTGAAAGGCAAAAAGATATAAAAACTGGAAGATGAGACCCACCCCCCAACCTCGGCTCAGCAGGTGTTCAATATGCTATTCGGGAAGAGCGGAGAAAGAGCTGCAGAAAGAATGAAGAGGCTGAGCCAAAGCAGAAACAATGCCTGGTTGGGGATGTGCCTGGTGGTGAAAGTCAAGTCCAATGCTGCAAAGAACAATATCACATAGGAACCTGGAATGTTAGGTCCATGAATCAAGGTAAATTGGATGTGGCCAAACAGGAGATGCAAGAGTGAACATAGACGTTTTAGGAATCAGAGAACTAAAATGGATAGGAATGGGAGGATTTAATTCAGATGACCATTATATCTACTACTGTGGGCAAGAATCCCTTAGAAAGAATGGAACAGCCCTCAGTCAACAAAAGAGTCCAAAATGCAGTACCTGGGTGCAATCTCAAAAACAAAAAACGAAAAACACACACACAAAAAAACCAAACAAAATGATATCAGTTCGCTTCCAGGGCAAACTATTCAACATCACAGTAATCCAAGTCTATGCCCCAACCACTAAGGCTGAAGAAGTTGAAGTCAAACAGTTCTATGAAGACCTACAAGACCTCCTAGAACTAACACCAAAAAAACATGTCCTTTTCATCATAGGGAGTGAAGTGACTGAAACTCGCTCAGTCGTGTCCGACTCTGCAATCCCATGGACTGCAGCCTGCCAGGCTCCTCTGTCCATGGAATTCTCCAGGCAAGAATACTAGAGTGGGTTGCCATTTCCTTCTCCAGCATCATCATAGGTAACTGAAATGCAAAAGAAGGAAGTCGAAAGATATCTGTGATGACAGGCAAGTTTGGCTTTGAAGTACAAAATGAAGCGGGGCAAAGGCTGGAATGGGTAGCTGTTCCCTTCTCCAGGGGATCGAACCCAGGTCTCCCACATTGTAGGGGGATTTTTTTCACCAATTGAGCCACCATAGAAGCCCAAGAATACCGGGTCTGTCTTTTCTCCAGAGGATCTTCCCAACCCAGGAATCGAACCCAGGTCTCCTGCATTGCAGGCAGATTGTTTACCAGCTGAGCTACCAGGGAAGCCCAATGGCAGAAAGTGAAGAGAAAAAGAGTCTCTTCATGAGGATGAAAGAGGAGAGTGAACATGCTGGCTTAAAACTCAACAATCGGGACTTCCCTGGTGGTCCAATGGTTAAGACTCTGTGCTTCCAATGCCAGGGCATGGGTTCGATTCTGGTCAGGGAACTAAGATCCCACATGCTGCATGGCACAGACACTAAATAAATAATTTAAAAATCAAAAACTCAACATTCAAAAAACTAAGATCATGGCATGTGCAGTCCCAAGGCAGTCCCATCACTTCATGGCAAATAGACAGGGATAAAATGGAAATGGAGACAGACTTCATTTTCTTGGGATCCAAAATCACTGTGGATGGTGGCTGCATCCATGAAATTATGTTCCTTGGAAGATAAGCTGTGACAAACCTAGACAGCATATTAAAAAGCAGAGACATCATTTTGCCAACAAAGGTTCATATAGTCAAAGCTATGGTTTTCCAGTAGTCATGTATAGGTGTTAAGAGTTGGAGCACAAGAAGGCTGAGAGCTGAAGAACTGATGCTTTCAAACTCTGGTGCTGGTAAAGACTTTGAGAATCCTTTGGACAGCAAGGAGATCAAACCAGTCAATCTTTAAGGAAATCAACCCTGAATAATCATTGGAAGGACTGCTGCTGAAGCTGAAACTCCAATACTTTGGCCACCTGAAGTGAAGACCCTGGTGCTGGGAAAGACTGAAGGCAGAAGAAGAGGGTGACAGAGGATCAGATGGTTAGGCATCACCGACTCAATGGGCATGAGTTTGAGTAAACTCCTGGAGATGGTGAAGGACAGGGAAGCCTGGCGTGTTGCAGTCTATGAGTCAAAGAGTTGGACACGACTTAGCAACTGAACTGAACTGAATGTACCTTACTGATAATCTACCTTGCAACTTGCTTTTCTATTAAACATTATTATTTTAAGTTTTTCCATGTTGAAATGTGTATATATAGTCTGTTCATTTTAACTTCTTCGTAGTATTCAATTGTACGGCTAAAAACAGAGTTTATTTCTCCACTGACCTATTACTTATATTTAAATTTTTTTAACTATGAAAAAAAAAACTGCAATAAATATTCTCTATAAGTCTTTTTGGGAGGAAAAAAAAGATGAAATGGTCCTGTTCTCAAGTCTTGAAGCATTACAAAATTCCTCCCAACAGTGATTATGGAATACAAAGGTTTGTAACAGGTTGTAATACAACCTGCTTTTCACAGATGACATTCAAAGTAGGGAAGGATGGTCTAATCAAGTTATAGGATGAAGAAAAGAAATATGAACTTAAAGAGCACATAATACAAAAGTGCACACAGTGCACTATGTCATGAGACTTGTTTCAGTTTTATACAAATAAATGTAACAAATATATACTATGTTCAATATAAAACATCCTGTGGCTTTTGATGAAAAAGACTGAAAACACCTGCCAACAGTCAGGAAGAACTCACAGGAGTAATGTCTGAACTAGAGACAACTAAGGCACATGGCTAAACTCATGGGCAACTCTGAAGGACAGACACTATCCACTAGTGGTAAATATTAAAAATATAACATATGCTTGACTATAGAAGCCAAGAGACAAGAACAGGAACAAAATGGGATGGGCACTAGGAGAAGGACAGTAAAAGGCAAGGCACAGAAATAGGACAGTGTGAGGCCAATCCAGGAAATGCTGAATATGCCACTTAGCTGGAAGAGGAAGGGCTGGGAAGGGCCCCGAATGTCATGCCAACAGGCTTCAGACTACTTTACCTGGAGAGCTGAGGCAATATTTTTCCAAACTGTAATCAAGAATCAAGAACTCAAATTGCTGAGCTATAACCAGCATTTTAAAAAATTAAGTAAAAGAGAAAGAAGTCAGAATATATCATACATGAGAGTGATCAGTGTTTCGTGAAACTTTAGTTTCAGATATGTGTACATATGAAATTATATCTATTCTGGGTTTTGATGAAAAATGTATTTCTTACTAAGTGGTGTAGTAAAAGGATTTGAAAGCTACTGTTCAGACAAAAGTCATAGAAACCTTATAACTAGGGAAAGAACTGACACTAAATGAAAAGTCATCCATTAACCTCCTAGATGACACTAGCAATTTTAAACTACTTAGAGGCAATTGACCCTTCAATGGATTTCCCTTTCCTCTGGTTGATGTGTTTGCACTATCCTTTTTGTACTACATGAGGGCCTATCTTTGCAAATGGCTTTCTGAAGATACCAAAGAATATCAAAGGACAAACTCAGAAATAAACTAGCAGTCTGTTTTTCCCTTGACATTTTGTTTTTTTTAAAAAGAAGGGATTCTTTAAGAACATGAAGGAGAAAAATGAACTATGTATAAGATATTACTGAATATCTCACAAGGATTTCAAAGCTACCTTCTAAGAAATATTCTATTTTTAATTAAACTTTTTAATGTCATTGTAAACCCATGTGCATGGTTAAGAAGCAATACAAAGGGATCTCTCATAACTTTAACCAGTTTCCTTAATGATAACATCTTACATAGTTATAGTACAACATTACTAACAAGAAATGAACGATGATATGATCCACTGATTTTACTCAGATTTCACAAGTTTTACAAGGACTCATTTGTGTTTGTCTGTGGATTAAGTTCTATGCACTTTTATTCTTTGCACAGATCTATGTAATCACTTTTTGTGTACCAAAGTCAAGATACGGAATCATTTCATCACAAGGATCCCGTGTGCTGTCTTTTTATTTTATAAATCCAAACACACTATTACCACAGAAGTCTTAAAGCTCCTCACCCAGAACTAAGCCCTTTAACTGAAGATTCCAGTTTAATTCCACTATCTACGCTATTGTCACTTGGCTTATTTAACTTGTATGCAGAGTACATTATGCAAAATGCCGGGATGGATGAAGCACAGGCTGAAATCAAGATGGCTGGGAGAAATATCAATAACCTCAGATATGAAGATGATACCACCCTTATGGAAGAAAGCAAAGAGGAACTAAGGAGGCTCTTGATGAAGGTGAAAGAGGAGAGTGAAAAAGCTGGCTTAAAACTCAACATGCAAAAAACTAAGATCAGGGCATACGATCCCATCACTTCATGGCAAATAGATGGGGAAACAAGGAAAACAGTGAGAGACTTTATTTTCTTGGGCTCCAAAATCACTGCAGATGGTGACTACAGTCATGAAATTTTTTTTTTTTTTCATTTTAACAGTTTTTAATGAAAGCTGTAGACAAGATGACTTTATTCCTGCATCTTCTCAATTGTTTCTTCCTTATATTTGCCCTTTTCCTTTCCTACTTGGCGAGATTTGGCTTTACGTTCAAGGATCTTTTTGCGGTCTTTGTCCAGTTTTAGTCTGGTGATAACCACCTTGCTGGGGTGAATGCCCACATGGACAGTTGTGCCATTAGCCTTCTCCCGCTGCACTTGTTCAATGTAGGTGACATATTTCTTCCTGTAAACCTGGACCACTTTGCCAATTTGCTGCCCTTTGTAGTGCCCTCGTACAACCTGAACTTCATCATCCTTTCGGATGGGCATGGATCGAACGTTGTACTTCTGTCTCAGCTCTTTAGAAAGAGGAGAAGACATAATTTTCCAGCGAATGTGGGAAGGCGCATTGAAATGCCTTTTTTGATTCTTGCTTCGGTCAGAAGTCACAAAGGGATTGAACTTCATTTTGGCCGCCGGCGCTTCAGCGATGGCCACAGAAGGGAAGAGATCTGCAGGCTGCTTCCGGTTCTCCAGTAATGAAATTAAAAGACGCTTGCTCCTTGGAAGAAAAGCTATGACTAACCTAGACAGCATATTAAAAAGCAGAGACATTACTTTGCCAACAAAGGTCCATATAGTCAAAGCTATGGTTTTTCCAGTAGTCATGTATAGATGTGAGAGTTGGACCATAAAGAAGGCTGAGCGCCGAAGAACTAATGTTTTTGAACAGTGGTGTTGGAGAAGACTCTTGAGAATCCCTTGGATAGCAAGGAGATCAAACCAGTCAATCCTAAAGGAAATCAACCCTGAATATTCATTGGAAGGACTGATGCTGAAAGTGAAGCTCCGATCCTTTGGCCACCTGATGCAAAAAGCCGACTCATTAGTAAAGACCCTGATGCTAGGAAAGATCAAAAGCAGGAAGAGAAGGGGATGACAGAAGATTGGATGGCATCACTGACTCAATGGACATGAGTGTGAGTAAACTCCAGGAGATGGTGAACGACAGGGAAGCCTGGTATGCTGCAGTCCACGAGGTCACAAAGAGTCGGACATGACTGAGCAACTGAACAGCAACAACCCACAGTGTAAGAAACAAACCTGAAACAAACCACATGCTTATTCTTGGTGTACCTGTCACTTAAATGATAAATATGACTAAGTAGAAAGGTTTTCCTTTTGTATGTTTAGAGTTTTAAGTTGATAAAACAATGGGGCTGGGTTCCTCGGGTCACAGGATGATGAAGTAAAAATAAGGCTCCAGATACATGCTCAGAGTATTTCTCGCAGCTAACAGTCGATATAGAACTGGATGTCCAAATGGAGACAGACATTTCTCCTCTGCCTCCCTATATTCAGGGTGAGGAAGGGAATGTACAAGAGCAGCACTGAAAAGAGATGCACAGGGAGGGTGACCAACTATATGGTCTATTCAGAAAGTGGAATTTTCAGTGCTAAAAACAGGAAAGTCCTGGGACAAACTGGTCATCTATCTCAAAGGTTTCTGTCTGTTTCCATAAAGCAGTCGAGCAAATCTTTTTGTTGCTGAAGACTCAGAACCTAGCAGTAGGGAAGTGTGGAGGGATAATTTAGAAGAGAATAAGGTGACCATGACACTTTCTGAACATCTGTACATCCGTCTTCCTTTGGCTCACAAAGAAGTTGCCATAGCTGAGTTATACAAACTGATTTTTGAGTTTCATGAAAATGTAATGGAAAGTAACTCTGGCAGATACACATATTTTAAAGACTAGGCTCAAACAGGTTACAGAATTAAAAAAAAGAAAAGACTACCTGTCAAATAAGAAAAAAGCATTTAGCCTCAAAGAGTGGGTGGAATACCAATGCACTGAGCAATTTTATAAATTGGGCACTTAAGCCTTTAAAGAAGTACAATACATGTTATAATTTCTAAATTGAGTTACTTGTCCATCTAAGTAAAAACTCTGACTTGTGTTCATTTCTCTTGTAGCTAGTTAAAATAAAAGACAGCTGTCTCAGACACAGGAAGGCCAGAACACAGGTGTAAGTCCAAAAGAAGCTTGCAATGTTATATACTTGAAGCAATCTTCAAGAGCTTCATATGTGCACAAGATACACTGCTAGCCACAAGTGGACACAGTTTTTACTCTTTAAAAATTTGTAGGATCAAAACAAGGCATAGATGGGCAAAGGGTTCTAATGCTGTTTACTTAGTACCTTAATAGCAGTGTCAGAAAAACTATGTGGGAACCCAGGTAAGGCAGCCAAGCTCTTCATGTATAAATCTGACCCTAACTGTGTCCCTCCCCTCCAGGGCCTTATTCCATCTGTTCTTGCCTCTCTCTTGAATCGTAAACTTATCTCTGACTATTGAATCCTTTCCTCAATATGCAAATTAACATTAAAGCCTCTTCTGCCTTCATCGACCACCTCAAAAGAATCCAGCCTTGTCCTTCTTAAGGTTATCAATTTAGCAAGTAAAAAATTTAAATGTCGACTTAAATATGAATTATGGATAAACAATGGATTTTTTCGGTTGATAATTTGTTTAGTATAAGAATGTTCCATGTACTACTTGTGACATACTTACACTAAAAAATTATTTATTGCACATTCAGCAAACTATGAATAGAATTTCCTCAATACAGTAAAGGGCATTTATGAAAAATCCATGGGGTCTAATATCACTCTATAGTGAAAGACTGAAAGCATCCCCTCGAAGATCTAGAATAAAACAAGGATGCCTGCTTTCACCACTACAATTCAGTTTTGTACTAGAAGTTCTAATTAGAGCAATTAGGGAAGAAAATGAAATCAAAAGGCATCCAAAGTAGAAAGGAAGAAGTAAAACTATACACACAGATGACAAGATCCCATATAGAGAAAATCATAGAGAATATACACACACCCACTTAAAAGAGCTAATAAAAGAATTAAGTAAAGACGCAGGGTAAATCAGTTGTATTTCTATACACTAGCAATCAGCAATTCATATAGGAACGTAAGAAAATTCCATTCAGTATAGCATCAAAAATAATACTTAGGGATAAATTTAACTGAGAAGGTATAAAACGTGCACACTGAAAACTATTAATATAAAGTGTTGTTGAAAGAAATTAAAGAAGACCCAAGTAAACAGAAAGACTTCCTGTGTTCATGGGCTAAGAGATTTGACATTAAGATTGAAAAGATACTAAACATTATGAGTTCCTAGGGAAACACAAATCAAAACCACAATGAGATATCATTTCACATCCACTAGGATTGCTATTTTTTCAAATAGCAAAGATGTGGAGAAACCAGAACCCTAGTACATTCTGAGGTACCAGGAATGTAAAATGGTATAGCCACCATGGAATTCTGGAGGTTCCTCAATAAGTTACACACAGAATTAATAGATGACCCAGCAATTTCACTTCTATATAGTTAAAAACACTGAAAATAGGTATTCAAACAAAAATTTATATGCAAATATTCAAAACAGCTGATAGAGCTGTCTATCAGCATACCTGAGAGACAAAGTGCCTGAAGAACTATGGACATTGTACAGGAGGCACTGATCAAAACCATCCCCAAGAAAAAGAAAGGCAAAAAGGCAAAATGGTTGTCTGAGGAGGCCTTACAAATAGCTGAGAAAAGAAGAGAAGAGAAAGGCAAAGGAGAAAAGGAAAGGTATACCCATCTGAATGCAGAGTTCCAAACAACAGCAAGGAGAGGTAAGAAAGCCTTCTTCAGTGATCAATGCAAAGAAATAGAGGAAAACAATAGAATAGGATAGACTAGAGATCTCTTCAAGAAAACCAGAATACCAAGGGAACATTTCAAGCAAAGTGAAAAGTGAAAGTCATTCAGCCGTGTCTGACTCTTTGTGACCCCATGGACTATATTAGTCCATGGAATTCTTCAGGCCAGAATACTGGACTGTGTAGCCTTTCCCTTCTGCAGGGGATCTTCCCAACCCAGGGATCGAACCCAAGTCTCCCACATTGCAGGCAGATTCTTTACCAGCTGAGCCACAAGGGAAGTCCAAGAATACTGGAGTGGGTAGCCTATTCCTTCTCCAGCAGATCTTCCTGACCCAGGAATCTAACCAGAGTTTCCTCCACTGCAGGTGGATTCTTTATCAACTGATCTATCAGGGAAGCCCAATACACAGAACTATACAAAAAAGATCTTAATGACCCAGATAACCAAGATAGTGTGATCACTCATCTAGACCCAGACATCCTGATATGTGAAGTCAAGTGGGCCTTAGAAGGCATCATATGAACAAAGCTAGGTGGAGGTGATGGAATTCCAGCTGAGCTATTTCAAATTCTAAAAGATGATGCTGTGAAAGTACAGCACTCAATATGCCAGCAAATTTGGAAAACTCAGCAGCGGCCACAAGACTGGAAAAGATCAGTTTTCATTCCAATCCCAAAGAAAGGCAACGCCAAAGAATGTTCAAACTATCACACCAGTGCGCTCATTTCACATGTTAGCAAAGTAATGCTCAAAATTCTCCAAGCAAGGCTTCAACTGTATGTGAACAGAGAACTTCTGGATATTCAAGCTGGATTTAGAAAGGGCAGAGGAACCAGAGATCAAATTGCCAACATCCGTTGGATCACAGGAAAAGAAAGAGAGTTCCAGAAATGCATCTACTTCAGTTTTATAGACTATGCCAAAGCCTTTGACTGTGTGGATCACGACAAATAGTGGAAAATTCTTAAAGAGATGGGAATACCAGACTACCTGACTGTCTCTTGAGAAATCTGTATGCAGGTCAAGAAGCAACAGTTAGAACTGGGAATGGAACAATGGATTGGTTCCAAATTGGGAAAGGAGTACATCAAGGCTGTATATTGTCACGCTGCTTATTTAACTTATATGCAGAGTGCATCATGCAAAATGCCAGGCTGGATGAAGCACAAGCTGAAATCAAGATTGCTGCAAGAAATATCAATAACCTCAGATATTAAGATGACACCACCCTTATGGAAGAAAGAGAAGAGGAACTAAACAGGCTCTAGATGAAAGTGAAAGAGGAGAGTGAAAAAGCTGCCTTAAAACTCAACATGTAAAAAACTAAGATCAGGGCATAGGATCCCATCACTTCATGGCAAATAGATGGGGAAACAAGGAAAACAGTGAGAGACTTTGTTTTCTTGGGTTCCAAAATCACTGCAGATGGTGACTACAGTCATGAAATTAAAAGACGCTTGCTCCTTGGAAGAAAAGCTGTGACTAACCTAGACAGCATATTAAAAAGCAGAGACATTACTTTGCCAACAAAGGTCCATATAGTCAAAGCTATGGTTTTTTCAGTAGTCATGTATAGATGTGAGAGTTGGACCATAAAGAAGGCTGAGCACCAAAGAACTGATGCTTTTGAACTGCGGTGTTGGAGAAGACTCTTGAGAATCCCTTGGACAGCACGGAGATCAAACCAGTCAATCCTAAAGGAAATCAGTCCTGAATATTCACTGGAAGGACTGATGCTGAAAGTGAAGCTCCGATCCTTTGGCCACCTGATGCGAAAAGCTGACTCATTAGAAAAGACCCTGATGCTGGG